TCTCTCTCTCTCTGTCTATCTTAAAAGAAAATGACCGTGATGATCCACGGAGCGAAGAAAAAAAAAAAACAGAAATCGATTTACAAATAGAGACGAGGACGCGTTCTTGTATATATTAGGAAAGGTTGAATCTTATGATGAAGCATACCTTGTGCCTTATATCTTGCCTATGCAAAACCGTTAGCGTTAAGGCTAATTATTTATATACACCTATGTATGCGTATCGACATTTTGTGTACTTAATTTTTTTTTTTTTCTAATAAACACGCTGAAACGGACCCGCCTCGATTAACATCTAATTGATTGTTTCCAGTGTGAGAAGCTCGAATATAGATCGAATATAGAATTGTCGCACACCGACAACATAACCTATAATTAAACGAAGGGGTTGTATAATGGATACGGACGATAGTATCTGCATAGAGGATGCTATACAAATATTTACATCTGTCATGTGTTCTTTAAGTGTCACTGATAAAAATGTGTTCTTGTCGTACATCGCTGATAATTGGAAACCAGAGGAAATAAAGTCTCAGCCTTTCACGGAAGATACGTTAAAGAGTTCTCCCAACAAATGCAGTCTAGAGGAGGAACAAGTAAATTTTATGAAAATGATTGCTTACGACATCAAAAGAAAGCTACCATTCGATGGAACATTCCCGTCGGAAGAGATTTTACCACCAACGATCGGGGAGGTCTGCTATTTTGTGTAAACAATAGAACTATATTTCAATTCTTCAAGTTGCGTTCTTTCTCATGAGAAAGAAACATCTCAAGTTGTATAATTCTGCAGAACTCGGATTGCGACGAGGAGTCAACGAAACACGTCGATGCGTTTCTATACGACAATACAGAGCTAGATAAACTTATAGAGAATGGGGAGGTGATTAATTTATATTGCGGTGACTGTATGTCCAACAATGTGAGGCAATATAGTAAGAAAAGCTTCAATCTTTCTAACTGTTTTTACATTTCATGTTTGCATTGCAAACAATGAAATTATGCAGTGTCTCTTTGATCATTGCTTCTATTAAAACAAGTGGATTTGTTTTTAGATATTATCTCACACTCATTGTCATTGTCTGCTGTGCTGTATATATTTCACAGCGTTTTGCCAAGTTTAAAAGACAAGGTTGTGCTTGATATAGGTTCCCGATTGGGTCCTGTTCTATATGGAGTAATTATTCCCTTATTTTTTTTTTATCAAGTAAGAGATCAACAGTCAAGAGATGTACGTTATTACTTGAAAATCTGTCTTTCAGGCATATATATTCACGTCTGCGGAGAAAATTATTGGCGTTGAAATGAACAAAGAACATTGCCTGCTGCAACGTGACATAGTAAATAAACATGACATGAATGATCGCATAGAGATTGTGAATAAGAGAATCGAGGAGTGTCCTGAAATAGTTCAGGCAAGTGACGTGATCATTATGAACAATCCGTTTGAATTTTATGTCCCAGAATCAGTGCATAGAGAAATTTGGAAGTTCTTAATAGCCAATATTCAGAGTAGAACAATTCTAGTTACCAAACCATCCATCGAAACTATCTTTAAAAATTTGAAAATTGGTTCAGCAAATAAATGGGTGAAGTTCTATGAACCGGAAAAGACTATAGATGAATTTGAATTGTTTGGATCAGTAGCCGTGGAGCTTGTTGAACACGAAGATATAAAATTCTACGAGGTGCTGTAGCTCCAAAGAGACAATTAAAAAGACTGTGAATTTTAT